ATGAGAGACTGTCAATTTCAAATAAAAAATAAAGGATGTGCCATAAGTAACCTCAGGTTGTTGGTTAATTTAGAAATGATGAACTATATGTAAAAGTTGCTATGATAAGCATTTTCACACACATTTTCTAGTCTTACCATGGCAAAGCAGGATAGGAGCTCAGAGGTGTTTAATTGTATGACCCAAGCCCTTTCCAATATCAAATTATTTTAAAACCTCCTCCAAATCTTTTGAAACTTAACTATAAAAAAGTTAATCAGTGTTATTTTAAGTTTGAAAAATATACAAAAGATGAGATATATACTTATATTTGACTTTTCAGGCCTAATCTGTCTTTCATCAATGAGATGAAAGTCATTACCAAATTCTGCTAACTGATAATACTTCACAAAAGATGAATGGCTGAACCAAAGAACACACAAGAAATACTATCTTCCTTCATGATAACAAGGACAAGACTGATATTAAGACATTTTAAAAAGATTTGACAAGGAGTTACATTTATCAATTGTTGGACTTTTGGGTTGCCTCCATTTCTTGGCTGTATGAAGAGTGCTGCAATGATCATGGATGCACAGATGTCTTAGATTTGCTGATTTCATTTCCTTAGAATATAAACCCAGCTTGGAATTGTTGGATCATATGTTAGTTCTTTTAATTTGTTGAGGAGGCTCCATAATGTTTTCCATAATGACTGTAATAGTTTACATTATCACCAAGAGTGTGCAAGCATCCTTATTTCTTTACATTCTTGCCAGCACTTGTTGTCTTTATTCTTTCCAATAATAGCAATTCATCCTGGGGTGAGGTAATATCTTTTGTTATTGTTTTTGTTTGTTTGCTTGTTTGGTACTGGGGATTGAACTCAGGGGCACTCAACCACTTTGCCACATGCCCAGCCCTATTTTATATTTTATTTAAGGATAGGGTCTCAGAGTTGCTTAGTGCCTCATTTTTGCTAAGGTTGGCTTTGAACTCACTATCCTTCTGTCTCAGCCTCTGGAGACACTGAGATAACAGGCATATGCCACCCCACCCAACCAGGTGAGGTAATATTTTGTAGTTTTGATTTGCATTTCCCTGATGATAGTGATATTCAACATGTTTTCATGTATCTTTTGGTCATCTGTCTATCTTCTTTTAAGAAATATCTATTTAGACTTTTCTTCAAACCTCAATTTTTAATATTTTTTTTTTATTTTGAGGTTTGAAGTTCCTGTTGTATTCTGGATATCTACCCTCCCTCATCATGGTTACAGTTTGCAAATATTTTCTACTATTCTGCAGGATGTCTCTTTACTCTGTTGATTGTGTCTTGGCTCAAAAGCTTTTTAATTTGATGTAATTTGAGAATAGTACTCATCGATGGATGAATTGGTAAAGAAAATATGGTATGCATGCCAACAATGGAATATTATTCAGCCATAAATAATGAAATCCTGTCCTTTGCAACAACATTAATAAAACTTGAGATCATTGTGCTAAGTGAAATAAGCCAGGCACAGAAAGACAAGCACAGCATGATCTCACTCCTGTGTGGAAACTTCTTAGAATCTGAGAGTAGAATGGTGGTTACCAGGGACTAGAAAGAGTGGGAATAGGAAGAAATGTTATCTATGGGTACCAAGTTACAGTCAGCAGCAGAAAGTTCTGGTGTGCTGCTGCCCTAGAGATAACAATAATATTCCACACATTTCAAAAACCCAGAAGAAAGGATTAGGATAGTTTTCACTAAAAAGAAATGATAAACACTAAGGTGACAGATATGTGTAAACTAATTTAAACATGATACAATATATACATGTATCAAAGTATCACATAGTACCCCATTCATAGTAAAATTTTTATGTATTTTTATGAAAATGAATGAGTATGTCCATAGGTTTCTGAAGTCACTAGTCCTATATCTACCTTTATTGTTTTTTTTATAAATGCTATGATTAAGAGTGAATTATTTTATGCCTGAAGAGGACAGATAAAGAGAGAAAATAAGGGTCTCATAAAATTCCCATTCAAGTTACACACTAAATTACAACAAACTATGCAAAACAACTTGGCAACCATCTGTGGAAATTCATGTGTGCTTTCTCAGTCCCTCATGCTCTACAAAAGTATATTATGATAATATTACGATGAGTTACAACTAGGGACTTGAAATAGCCCATGGACTAATTACTCAACTTAATTTCACAGTTTTCACTTCTTAACTTTGAAAAAATTATCTAAATTGTTCACTCTTTAACTTTACCAGAAATACTTCTTAGTGGAAAAAATAGTTGAATATTATAACAGAAACATTTGCTTGTATTTTATTTAGATAATAACCAAGGATTATTATCTTTCAACATCATAGCTTTTCTCTTTTCATTCAATGCTAGAGCAAGAATAATCCTTCAGATAATATTAGCTATTGATGAAGAAAATAACCAACATTTTCCATCATAAACTGCATTGGATTTTTTTCTTTATTGCAATAATTCAAGCTTCATGCTCAGATCAATAGGGAACATGAAACAAAATACACCACACTGTCTTTACTATGAATAAGGTCGCATTTTTTTCTTACTTTTTTTTTAAAAAAAACTCATCTATTATCTTTTACTTGACATGATCATTATATAATCAAGACATGTATTGAGTTGCTTCTGTGAGGTGAGTATTTCACTTACATAATGGGATCTCCTAGACTGACTTTTACACATGAAAATGTAAAGGTTCTCAACAGCTTTCCAGGATCATAAAGTAAGTAACAGATAATAATTGAAAATCTGAATAGCGCTAACTGTTCTCTTTAAAGGCAAGGGGATTTCTCTTCTCTTCAAGTCCATTTTCTACTGTAGAAATACATAATTAAATTTTTTACGATATATTTCAATATTCATCTCTGAATTAATAAAAGTACCCTGGATGAACCCACTGCTCACTGAAACTCAGTTTTATTAATTAAATGTAGTTTCTTAAAATAAATCATTGTCAGAATCTTGGCTACTTCCTTAACCTATAAGACTCAGAAAATCTATGTGTAAGGGAGGAATGTTGTATGCTTTGGGCACTTAGAGGAAAAAAACAAAACAAAAAAAGATAACATATAGAAAACTTTAGTGTCTAAATACAAAACAAGATAAACAAAACAGTAACAGCAACAACAAAACAACAAATTGCATTATGTGTCTTCCAAGTCAGTGTACTTGATGTTTCCTAAGACAAAGATTTTCTATTTAGTTTTGACCTATTAGTAGGTTTGTGCCTTTTAAAAGTAGAGAATTGGAAAACTGGTGCAATGCTTTTATCAGATTCCAGCTTTATAAATTATTTCTCATGGAAGCAAAGTGAACCTATATTCAAAAATAATGCTTATGGAAAGTGACTGGCTCACTCTCAAAAATACCAACCATTCATTTTGATAATAGATTTAGTAATAATGAGTCCCTTTAACCTTATTCTCAGAGGTAAAGTGAATTTTAACTTCATCACACTTCTTGGGAACTTGGCCATTTTAGTAACTTCAAAAAAGAGTTTACCACTAGTATATCTATCAAATGGTGTTATTTTGTTCATATTTTTTCAACCTCATTAATTTCTTGCCCAAGACAGTAATGCAAGTTATCTCTAGACACTTATAAAACTTTCTGGAGAATTTCATAGTAATCTAATATCCCCTGTAGTGACTATGCAATTCAAAAAGGAAGTTGCCACCACTAAAAGGTAAGATCCAAAGAACAAGGACCATATATGGCTTCCTCATCTTCCCCATAATCTAGAATAGAATTGAAACATGGTGGGCTCTTAGTATCTTCATTGCAGGAGTGAATGAATGAAGCCAGGGAATTTATCCTTTTACCCTTTGGAAAACCATTATGTGCACAAGCATTTAGGTTGTGGATAGCTATATGATATGTACTGACATTGATGAAACTTCTGCAAGTATTTTTTCAGCTCTTTCTGTTGAACTTATTTTATATTTGTCTGAGTTCTTCTGTGTAGTTTATTTTTACTGTAGAAATTAATGACAATTTTTTTCCTGCAAAATATTCTTGGCAGGCATGTCTTGAATAAATAAAGGGCTTCTGAAAGAAGTGCCTTATACACTATGGGATTTCTTCCATAAGGAAATACACACGGCAAAATCATAATATGAGGATTCTTTTCCTTTTTTTTTTTCCAATAAGAAAATACATCAAAAGAAAGGAAGAATGTGAATTGGCTGCCATGTAAACTAAGTTTATTCTTCTTTGACCCATCCACTGGGCCTTCAAACTTTCTGGAGGTTTATCTCTTAAGTATATTACTCTTGGAATTTCCAGACCAAGTGTTTCTGAAAACAAGATAAATCAAACTGTCTGGTGTTAGGCTAAAGATATATGCTCCACGATTACACTGGATATTGACACCATACTTTAATCATAAATATTTCCTTTGAAACTTTCTAAAGAATATAAACAGCCAGATTACGAAAAACCATAGGTAGAAGCAACACTAAGACCCAGAGATTAAGGGAGCATTTTAGTACTTGGAAGATAAGTTTTTGTTGTAAAATGTACTTTGTCTTGTTTCTGATAATTCCATAGTTTTATGATCAAGTCATGGTCCAACTCCGCTATGTGGGCTGAATCCAGTGTAGAGAGATTGTCCAGGTTTTCTTACTGTCTAAATTTTTATGACACCAAATCATAGAATTAAAATGAACCATCCTCTGGAATCATAAAATATAAGTTTTGTTCAAAATTTCATTTTACAAAAAAGGGGGCCATGAAGCTCAGAAAACTTCTTAAGAAAGTGATTTAGTCAAGATTGCAAAGTGATGGAATCCTGATTTTTAAGAAGGGAGGAAAGACAAAGTGTCCCTAACCTGAAAACTACTTTTCTACCCTATGCTGCTTCCTTTACTCCTCATTAGGTGGCAGTGTCTCTCGTCTTTGGAATTGCAGATACCAACCGAAAATCCTCAACTTTGAGAGAAGCCAGACCCATGAAAGAGACAAATTAGGTAGGCCACTCACCCAAATCAGAACACTGCACAACTCGAAGGTGGCACTGACAACGGAAAGGACACACAGGTCCCAGGGGCTCCATTTCTCCAAATTCAGGAACACGATCTTCTGGGCCTATCCCAGAAGCCTCATCTTCTAGCATAAAGTCAAATAAGCCCCTCTGTTGAAAAGGTCCAGCCCAGGAAACTTGTGCAAGCAGGAGGAAGATGAGGGTCGCCTTCATGATTTATCTCAATTATTTTCACAACCTACGAACCTAAGAAACAAATGAAAGGTATAGGAAGACCAAAGTCCATGAGTTGGTTTTAATATAATGTCCCATACTAAAGTGAAGATGGAGAAAGTATAAAAAATAATATTTATTATGAGGAAGGAGAACATTAAAGATGTATTCAAGAGGTAATAAAGTAATTATAACTTCACTTGCACAGCGAATTACTTATGAAGACTTTGAAGAGGTTGTGAATCTATTTGAACCTGCTGTCTGAATTAAGATGATATACTATACTTTCATATAATTTGCAAAGTTTTAATGATTATAAGTCATTCTGGTTTTTGATACTCTCAACACAAACCATGACATAGTTAAAATTCTTTCAATACAGAAGAAAGATCACCAATTCCTATCTCAGATGAAACTCTGGAAACCATCCTCATCTCTCCATACTACTGTATTTATTTTGGTCTAGGCCTTCTCATCATCCCTTGAACTATTGCAAGAGCTTGCTCATTTCTACCCTGAACATTTTCTTTACCCCAGGCCATCTTCCACTCTTCTACCCAAGCCATCCTCTGAAAATTAACCTCATTAATTTCTATTGCAACTCCTTTGTTGGCTTCCGATGGCTTGCCAATAATGTTCTCATTCCCTGTGCCATATGTGAGACCACTCATAATTTGGTGCCATCTGATATTTCTAGGCACATTTCTCTCTGTTTTCTCTCTCCTACTAGATCCTATCTCTACTCTTGCACTCAAAGTCACTTGCCATTTACAGTACTTACCTTGTGGAGAGGGTGGAAAGGTTAAGTTAAATAATGGCTTTCCTTCTGTGTCCCCTGGCTTATACAGGCAGGATGCTCCTCTCTGCCTCTTCTGTGATCCCAAAGCACATCACTCTTACCTCTTTTAAAGAACTTATCACATTATATTGTAATTTGTTTTGCATGCTTGGTCTGTCCCCCACTCTAGACCATGTAGTCCTTCAGGGCGTGTCTTATTATCCCTTGTTCTGTACCCAGCCTTGCACAATGTTTTGCACACACATGACTCAGTTGACCATCAGTTTATTAACAACATAATTTATTCAATATTTTCCCAAGTCACCAATCATTTTGATGTTTTAAGACACAATCTAGTGTTTTCTTCAAATCCAAATTTCTAGAATAAAAAAAATATATATATATATATCAAATGGAAAGAGCTTCAACATGGTTGGTATAAGAAAAATTCACATTTAAAAATTAAATCTGTTGGTTAAAATCCCAAATTGATTATTTTTAAAAAGTCAATAAATATATGTGGAAAACCTAATTGATTGTTAAATAATTTATATATTATCTACTTTTCACTATGGTAACTTTTACTAGTAGATAATTTATATATTATCTGTTTTTACATTTTACTAACCTTTTGTAAAGTCAAATAAAGAAAAAAGCTCAGTTTTGACAAATGCATATAATATTTACCTATTCATTAAACAAACTCTTATAAATATATACATCCATATTGTTAAATGGGCTGATGTGACCTAAATAACTCAATGATAAATCTGAATAAGTCAGAATAGGAAAAAGTGGTTGATTGCATTAGAGAACAAATAATCCATTTTTGAGAAGATGTGTTTTAAAATGCCATTGAAACTCTTCTAAATTCCCAGAACATATTGCAGATATTATGTTTAGTCTCAACATCATTGCTTTGAATTGTACATGTATAAGAACTAATATTAAGGCTGGACATTCATAATTAGAATTAAAGACTTGTTTTGAGCCACATTAGCCAATGGAAACATATGAAAATAAAGGGAAAAAAATCTTTGTATGTGTCTTCTGGAAGTTTTTCCAGATTCACTAGAGAAGAAACAAAATGTTTTTCAATTTCTTACACTTTTTCTCTTAGTTTATATTCAGTATTGGAATATGTCTAAAGAAATACACACAATACTGGATTATGGTTTTTCGTTTTAAAAATAAATATTATTATTCACACTGCCAATTGAAATTCAGTGTCAGGGGTTCTCCTGAGCCCATTCCCATTCAGTTGTTGAGTTTCTCTTTAAGGGGAGACTGTTGTTTTGGCAGGACATTTTCTTGCATTGATCTGAAGGAGAGGTCCTCTATCTGTTTCACATTAAAATGCAATGTTTACGGTTTACCACAAGTTTGCTAGCCTTGCATATTTAATGTCATAATTTTAGAAAAAAAAATGAAGCAAAGTATTTGCAGATTTAATAAATAGCAAAGAGAGTCAATGCAGATGTCATTTTGTAATCCTTTCCTCAGAGTAGAAAATGCCTGGCTGTTTTACTAACGACCCAAAAAAGGAAATGTTGAGCATTAGCTCAGAGCAATAGTATCATCATTTGGAATTGTTTACTCTTTTTAAAAATGGTGCAAATTCTCTGTGCAATATTCTTTTTGATAGAAACTGAGTAACACAGTTCATAGATTCGATGACTTATTTTGACATCACTTTCATTGGCTTTGTGTATATGAATGCATTTTAACTACAAATATCCTAAGAAAGACTAACATGTCCAGCAACTTTATGTAAATCCTTTCATGAAATAACTTCTTCTGCATTAGTGTCATAGGTACCTGAAAACACAGCATCTTAAAAATGATTAATGTAGGCTCCTTACAGTCTTGATTTCTTCAATTATTTCCTTCCTTTCTTAATAAATCACATGCAAAAAATGGACAGCAAATAGAACTTGCCCATAGAAAGCAAGGAGGCTGTTACTGAAATGACATAACTTTTTACATTTCTTTGCAACTATTTTAAGTATTCTCAAAATGTATGTAGTGTCATTATTCCACTAATGTTAGTTGTCATGGCTTATAAATGCCTTATCAAAAATAATAAAATGACCTCAGCACATTGAATTCACTGTATAGTTCAGACCAACATTTATGAAATGTCATTTATACCTTTCGTATGACTTTTAAAGTTAAAATATATCCCTTAAATGATAGGGGGGGATATTAAGTGCAAATCAAAATTAAAATCCCCAGTGCTGGGTGACTTCAAAACTTCATTAATAATACAAGTAATTTAAAATAAATAATAGCAGCATTTATCCATAAATAGGACTACTATAAAAAGTATTTGGCTTTTTTTTTCTGTTAAAAACAGCAGGAGGAAGAAAAAGCCACAGACATTTACATCACTGAGAGCCCACTTAACCAGTGGTCATCAGGTTACCCTGTTTTAAAGTTAGAAAGAAAATTACCCACACCCTCATTTTACAGTGCATGTACCTTATAATAAAATTCCATTTGCTTTAAAATACTGAAAAGGACACTCCTTTACAGTAAAGGAATTTTGCAATTGCAAAAATATCTTAGGTCTTTAACATAATAAGTATTTGCAATGTTTATTTTTTACCTCTGGTAATAATTTCTATTCATTTCTGGGGGTTATAGAAATATACATTAGCTCTCTACCGCTAATCACTAGAGTTCACTTCTCTGAGGTTTTAAAAGTTTGTAAAATATACAAGAATTCAGGATGGGAATAAATCCTTAAATGTATAATCTAACCACAAATACTATGCTAGTTTAGAATACTTTTCTGTTAACATTTCATAAAGAGCTAAACATTTCATCAGTACAAATACAAAAACATTAATATAGATAGTCATGGTGTTCTGTTACAGTTTTTTCATAAGCATCTTTGCAAGAACAGAAGAGAAAAAAGTAAAACAATGCATTCAACCATTTTACCAAATATTTAACTTCTGCTTTCAAGCAATACTTGTTTAAAAGGTTGCATAAGATTACTAAAAGTTTAGCATGATTTTTTTTTTTCTTTTTCTCACCAAATATTTCCTTTTGCTCTCGACTTGACCGAAGTTTTATTAGTCTGTAGCATAGTTCAGGACAATTATTGAAAACCGTACCTTTTAATCCGGGTACTTGCCACAGGAGCCCTCAAAGCTGAGATGCAATTACACTAAATATTCAGCCCAAGCAAAAGAGTTTGCAGGTGTGGAAAGGAGGAGGGGGTAGGTGCTGCTCAGTGACTGTCACTAGGTTGAAAACCTCCTGCTTCTACTCCATAGCACAGTTAAAAAATAAGGTTTCCCTCAATGAACACAATCCGGCTGACACCCACATTAGATCATATGGTAATGATATGTCTCTTGTATTGTAGCCAGAAACTTTATCGGTCTTTTTTCCTCCGCATTTGCTTTATTCTTTTTGCATCTGCTTAAGATTCTAAACTGCTTTTGTAGTATAGTGGAGCAACTTGACTTGAAATTTGTCTTATTGTCGATTCTTTCCCTAAAATATTGTAACTAAAGGGTTTGTCTCCCCACCCCCAACACCATCCCCCCTCTGCAAACTTTCTAGCTTTGTTTATCAAGAACATTCTTTATACTTCCAAAATGACAAGTTTTCTTGCTTTTAAGATGCACAAGTCCAGAAAGTGGAATGAAATTAATCCTGGAGTTGTTTTAAATGTGGTTTGCAAAGATGACTGAGTAGGCTTATTCAAAATTCCTCATTCAGGTTTTTACTTACCTTACAAGGTTTGTGCAAATTCAAGTACTATGCTATGGACCTTTCTGTGAATTTTGAATGTGTTTCTATAGTACTCTGGAAGAAAGCCAGGGATTTATATAAAAAAGTATGTCATTTATTATTTTCATTACTCACAATTTAAAAATTGTTTTGTTTTCTGCCTGTTGTTGTTGTTGTGCTGTTATAAAATAAAACACCTAGATACTAGAAAGTGGTTACAATATAGTTTAATCCTCATTTTGAAAAAATTGCTTTTCTTAGGCTATATTTTTATGTAATCCAGAACTTTGAAGAGGCAAATAGATTCTTTGGCTCTTTCCAAATTTCAGTAAGTGGAAAAAAAGAAAGTACAAATACGAGGAAAGATATTTATTTAGCCACTGGAAAGAATTTTTTTTTTTTAATAATTCCCTTGCTGGATGCTGTGAGTTGTTTCTGTGTAAGTCTCTATGTTTTGTTTTGACTTGTATCTTTATGCTCTGGCCCCTAGGCTGTTACCAGGTGGAAACTTAAAGTCAACATCTGTGAAACATGAGAAGAACCCCCTCCCAATCTCCCCCTCCTTCCCTCCCTCATGTAGTCATCTAAGTATATACTTCTACAGTAAATATTCTTTTGCCCTGATGCAACTTGAAGGAATTAAATTCTTTAATGGGTATTCAAAGGAAGGGGGTGGGTGTGACTCCATTATATTTTGGCTTTTTCCCAAGCCTAGCCTCCCACGTTTTTACCCCCACTCCCTATATCCTTAATATCTCATACTCCTATGCCCAGTTATTCTGGTAGTTTAGAAAAAGGCATGTAAACGTTTTTCTTTGACATTCATGTGAACACCCTACTCCCCGTACCTGGACTTAATTAATTTTCCTCTTCTGAGCTCTCCTTGCATAGAATTTATGACTTTTTGATGATATACAGTTACTTCTTCCTCCTAGTCTCATTATTTATGGACATGTTCTACTCTTAGGAAGGAAACAGGCCATGTCCATATTTCTAAAGTACTTGCACTCAACAATCATATAACATAGAGAATTATGAAGAAATACTTGATGAATTAGCAAGGACAGTCAAATATTGACTGTGGACTATACCATGATTATTGTCTGTTTCAACCCCTGATTTGCTCCTTATCAAAACCCAGCCCTACTAACATGTATAATGATGAATTATAACAATATTTGTATCTAATAAAAAAGAGAGAAAAAAAAGAAAGTAGAGGTAAAAAAGTAGTGAATAAAAGTGGAAGAAGGAGAATAGGAGTAGAAGAAGAAAAAGACATAAACCTTGATAAACAGATCATTTTGCTTTTATAAAAGCAGGACTATTATGGTAAAGATTCACATTTTGTTTTTATCCTGTGATGGTGTGAACTCGGGGAACTTATGTGGCCCTCATTAAGTGAATTGAGTGAATTATGTGGCCCTCATTAAGCCACATATGACTGATGGAGTTTTGTATGTGAAGCAAAAATATACCTAGATGACTTTTAATTTCTTTGCCTGCTTTAAAAGTAATATGTGGCTGGGCAGGGAGGCTCATTCCTGTAGTTCCAGAGGCTCAAGAGGCTGAGGTAAGAGGATTTTCAAGTTCAAAGCCAGCCTCAGCAACTTAGTGAGGCTGTAAGCAACTTACAAAAAAAAAAAAAAAAGGCTGGGGATGTAGCTCAGTTTTAAGCACCACTGGGTTCAATCCCTGGCAGCAAATAAATAAATAAATAATCAAATGAATAAAATTAAATGAATTAAAATCCAGGTCTCTTGCAATCTAACATAATTAGAACTGTTTTGAGGCTAGAATCAATGTCTATGCAGAGATTGCTTAGTTTCATCCTGGCTTGGAATGTTTGAACACTGGGTTCTCTGAAACTTTGGTTGATATATATATATATATACATACATACACACACACACACATACATACACACACACACACACACACACACACACACATATATATATATATATGCAATAAAGTGCTCTGAATTAAAATACTTTATGGAAAGTATTTTAATTCGGAGCAGATACCATACCTTCTGCTAAACTATTATAACTGTGATTTCTATTGACAGCCCACTAGCTAACAGGACAACTGTATTATTTATGCTGTCAAAGTTCATTTCAAGGCTACTCACTTTTTCTCACTGACATCTCAAGCAAGCGACTTCAATTTTACAACACATTAAGGTAGTGAAGAATGCCAGAGCCTAGAAAGGCCTCCTCTAACACCCTTTTATTTCCTAAGAGGTCTGGAAGCAAGTGATTATCTTCACAAACCTGATGTGACTGGTCTATTCTTAGACTGATACTTCAAAGTTAAGTCAGGGGTTGGAGTGAATTATGTGGCTCTATGTTTTGCTACCCCAGATGGATTTCTCACTCTGCCAAGGAAGATGACTAAGGTGGAATTTAGGGAAGTCTTGAATGCAGGATGGCTTGAAACAAAACCTATTGCAGGACGCTTTTGCCTTGATTTCCTTCCCCTGTGTCTGTGTCCCCAACCCATCACCATGGTGTCCTTAGACAAATTTCTCTGTTCCACAGGTTTTTTTTGTGTGTGTGTGTACAAGGTTTTGAATTCTGAGACGCTTTACCACAAAGCCACATCCCCAGCTCTGATTTATATTTTATTTAAAGACAAGGTCTCACTGAGTTGCTTAGGGCCTCACTAAGTTGCAGAGGCTGGCTTTGAACTTGAAATTCTCCTGCCTCAGCCTCCTGAGCTTCTGGAATTGAAAGCATGTGCCACTGTGTCTGGCTCCACAGGCTTTTGGCCCATAAATTGTGGATAGCCCTAGTGTTGTTTTCTTCATGGGTTTGGATGAGGTTTAAAGGCTAATATATAAAGCATTTAGAGCTGTGCCTGATGCATCTCCAACAACATATACACGTTTGTTGTTGTTTCTGCTGTTCTTGCTCTTATGGATGATATTGTTACAAACCTTCCCTTGGACATTCCAGTACAGAACTCAATACTGTACCCCTAGTGGTTGTTCTATCAACAACCTAAGAAAACACCCAAACTGTATTACAGTGAGAAGAATGAACACTATGCAGTTTGATGAGTCTGGGTTTCAGCCCCCACTTTTTGTCATTAAATAATGGCTAGGCTTTCTTTCTGACAATGTTTTATAGAAGTAGGTGCTGCTGAAATTCATTGATAGACTTTGTAAGGGCCCAGAGACTCCAGTTTAAGCATAACTATGCTAAACATTAATAGAGAAATAGGAATAGGGAGTCGGTCAGGATAAATAATGAATTGAGGTAGGGAAAAGGTACAGAGATATAAACCTGTCTTTCTCTGCAAAAAAGGAAATAATCAATTCTGTTATTCTCTCACTCTTTTCTGGAATGCTCAGGAGCATATTTTTAGTTACAATCAAGAGACAAATTATTCTTCCTGTAATATTGAACAATCAATTTGTACTTGGTCAACAGGCCGACACTTACTGACTCTCTAGATGAATGCACATATTCCTTTGTTAAAGACAAGGCAATTTTTCAGTAACCTATCCATCGATCAATCAGAAAATACTGACTGAGGAACCACTATGGGAAAATAGCATTAATATTAAGGCCTATGCAAGATACTAAGAAACACAAAGTTAAGCACGAAGGACATGACTTCAAAGGATTTACACTGCAGGAGAAGATAGAACATAAACTATGTATTTATATAATAACATGTTAGTATTAGCATACCAGAGAAGTTATAACGTATGATTCCCATCCAAAGTAAAGTATGATGTAATTAAAAGTAATTGTCTTAGCAAGTGAGAGGAGGAATGAGGGAGAGATCACTTTACACAGGACTGTTAAGTAGGTATTTATGTAGAGCGGAGTTTAACTTCAGCTGGATCCTGAGGGATAACAAGAATGTGCATGGAATGAAAGGGGAGAAATGGCTTTTTAGAATGGCAAAACTGTACTAACATAATCTTGCAAATGAAAAAGCAAAAGATGAATAAATCAATGTGGTTGAAATACATGTTTTTTTTTTTGAAAGGAACCATGAGCTCCTTTATCATTCTTGAATATTCAAACACTCCACTCCCAGGCTGTATGACATATTCAAGTCACACACTAAATGAATGTTCAGTGTTTATAGAAATGAGAAAATAAATGAGTAGAGAGTCTCATTGGGGAAGGACTTGAAAGTCTCCAGTGGGGCACTTATCCATCTATTCATTCGTTTGCTCAGCAAATATTTATTTGGTGATTAAAATATACCAGTTACTGTGCTGGAAGCTGGATATTATCAAAGGTCCTTGAATGAGGTAATAACATGTTAAAATTATTTATTTTAGCTAATCAATTTCTATACCTATGTTCATAGTAGTGAAACGTGAGTCAAGGAAACTAGTTGAGAGGTTATTGCTTTAGTGTATTAATAGCTTTTTTTTTGGTTTTGGTACTGGGGATTGAACTCGGGGGCACTCAACCACTGAGCCACATCCCTAGCCCTATTTTGTATTTTATTTAGAGATAGGGTCTCACTGAGTTGATTACTGCTTCACTTTTGCTGAGGCTGGCTTTGAAATTGCAATCCCCCTGCTTCAGCCTCCAGAATCTCTGGGATTGTAGGCGAGCATCACTGTGCCTGGCTTAATATTTTAATAACAAGATGAGCAAGGCAGAAATAGGGATACTACTCAGACAGCTGATGTGATATAT